AACTGCAAAGGAAGGCAAGATTTTAATAATGAACATTCATACATCTCAACAAATATGGCCAAAGATTTGGACAATGATGAGGAAACTCTGAGGGAAAATTAGACGAAATATTAATGTGAGTGGTCCAAAAATAACACTAACATGTTTTGGAAAAGTTATGCTCTCGGATGACTCAGTGCTCATTTAAGGATAGTCTGAATCAGGTTAATCACGTTTTTAACCTAATTGCACCCCTTCCCCAAACCCCCAAATTTTGACTAAATTGTCGAAAAGTAGCAAACAACATTCATTAAAGATCAATATGGCTATTTCGCTTCTATGTCATAAAGATATGATACGATCTCAGGTCAATCAATAAATTTCACAAGTGACACTCTATCTTATGAAGAAAATACTATCGTATTTGAAGACATGTCAAAAATTTGGTTACCCTTTGCATTCGTTTGACTTCACTTCTTAAAAAAGAGCTTCGTCTTCACTCTTTCAAACTAAAATAAACCTGTGAACTCACCGCCCCAATCAGTGTTCGTCGGCCAAATTTGACATGCGCATATTTAATTTGATAATAAAGTCAATTGGACTCGTAGATATTTCACTAGCAATCAACCCATCAATATATTTTTTTAAAGTTGTTGGCCTCATTTTCACCAAAAATGGAATCATTTTAACAATGTTTGATGCATTACTATTCTTTATTTTAATGTATCAAATAGCTCTTGAAAAGAAACTGAATTCCCCTAAGATTAGTGTTCCCCATGTTATTTCCCCTTTGAAAAAATTCATGCTGTCCATTGGTTTCAGTTCATTTTGGTCATCCAAATTCAGTGTTTTTAAAGTCCCTGGAGCAATCCACTTTTCCTCTTAGGAAATATAACATGTCTCAAAGCATATTTTAATTATGCATCCAACAATATAATTAAAGGTTGCATCTTTGCTAAAAACTAGGTCATCATTTTTACTAAAAAGTATGTTGATTGGGCCATTCCCTTTAATATCACCCAGGTCTGATTAATCATTATATTTACTCTTCTTGAAGATAATGAATAGATCTAAAAGATATACCAATGTTCATGGTCAGAAAATATTCATAATTCAAGTTAGAATTGACCTTTTTTATATAAATGGAAAATAGATGGCATCAAGAAGTTATTCCATTTGGATCAACTTAAAACATCATTGGAATGTAACTATATGATCTTATTGACATGTGGATTGTGATTTCACATTAAAATTGTGATCCTTGTAAGAGTAAATGAACTTTTAAAGGTTTTTCAGCATTTTGTCAATGGGGATTTAGCCCGACCTTTTTTAGACAACCAGAAAATCATTAGAATTTGAATAATGGTAAATAACAGTGCAAATCAAAGTTGTTTTGATAGAGAATTACTCACAGAATTCAAATATGCCATCAGATGGAAGAAAACGTTAGTTTTTAATGGTTAAAAATGCTGATCTCCTAAAATCTCATTAAAAACAAGACCTTAACGAGATTTCAAAGCTATATGGAAAAAGGACCATTTTCTGAAGTTGTTTGCGATAACCTACATGCTCCTTTATAACATTATTATGTAAATACTATCAAATGCTTTAGTCATGACAGTTGAAGTAAACTGACGTCTTGGTATTTAAATGCAGAATCAGATCTATGTAAACAAAATTGAAAGCAATTGAAAGTACAATCTCAAATATAATATCTCCCAAAAGATCCACAATATAAATTATTTATTGGTAATGTTGTTTAAAATTCAAAGTGTAAAAAGGGGGAAATGTTCAAATTCTCCCAAATAATAATAAATAAGTTACACTAAGTTATACAAGTGTGAGGCACCATCATCTTTGGTTAATAAAAAAGATTCTTAGCTACTTTTCTAACATATGGCTGTGATGCATCATGGCTTAATGAGGACTCTGCTATATGGTCAGATAATGAGAACTAACAGTTTTACGGAACTTTTGCCATGTTTTGCACATTGTAAATGACCCTTCTGAATGGGTTGTAAAGGAGGTATATATGGCTCAAATGACTCGTGCCCTAGTACATGGGGCACTGAAGTACATTACTTGTGCATGATGACCACCATAGTCTAGTTGCTCAAATGAGATCAATTGATGATTATAATGTTTAGACTTTATGTCAATGTCCTCTCTAGTATGTGATCACACTAGATTTCATTATGATACATGTACTAAATTGAAAACTTACATATAAAATATCTTAAGTCCTATATTCTAGTAATAAATGAATTAGAATGTCACCTAACATTTGATGATGGTATGAATTTATTGATTTGGTGTCTATCAATACATGTTTCTAACTTAATGCTGCAAAACGATAAAATTCACCACATCCACTTTCTTCAATTTTCCAGAGGTAGGGCACTATAAAGTCATATTAAAATTACAAAATAGTACTTCATAACTAAAATAGATGTATTACAATACCGCACATAGCTTGGAAATGTTTTTAGAATACTACTATGAGCTGTTTAAGCTGTCATATTTTGCTTGAAGCTACAAATATAAAATTGGCAAGACAAAAATTGCGTATCTTTTTCCTGTTTATTGTATTTTTTCTGAGACCAATAAGGGTATCAACCTATAACTTTAGGATAGTATTCATATTTGTACTAGCAATGTATGGTGTACAACTCAGAACAATAGCTCATATATCCTTTGAGTTATGAACTAGTTTCATAGTACCCCCTAAAATATTTTCCTAGGGGGGTAAAAATGCCAAAATTCGGTGTCGTGACCATCCCGTTGAGCTGTCATCTTTTAATATCTTTATCAGCATGAAACATTGATCGAGTGAAAATAGGTCTGTTGCTTTTTCTAAAAAATGCCTCAAAAACTTGAATTATTAGAATTGGAACCTGTCTATATCGTCGTTGAAATGAAATATCATACTACAATCGACCCCATCGTCTCCCAGCATCACTGAATGTTATGAGCCTTCTCTTGTCATGATCCAAGGTGAAATACCATTGAATTTTGAAAAGCTTTTTTGTCATATCGAATGTCGCTACGGTGATATGATGATTGAAATTGGTCGTTTAACAACTGAGAAAAATTAAACATTACGTATTATTCTTTGAAAATATGACAGTGGCATGTCCTTGTAAAGCTATTGCCAATCTTAGTATTTAGGAGATTGACATTTACATACGTATCATTTAGACGACATCGATTTTTCGTTTTTTTGTTTGCGTTTTTCATCAAAATTTAAATGGCTAAACACTTTAGGGAGTTACCGTTTCATTGGATTACTACTTTTTGTTTTATTTCTTTCATTCTCCAATATGCACCTAATCATATTTGAATAGAATACTACAGATTGAAGAAATCTATCACTTATGATTAGGTAAGAAAGCAATTGCGGCAGTATGCCTATTTGCCGACGTAAACCTTAAGGTTAATAATGATGTGCCTTAAATGCTCATCAGCGCATTAATGAACATTAGCATAGATTTTGATATTTTAAATGGTATGTCGTGTATTTACATAAATATGGTAAATGCAACTATTTGTTGGATGCGTTCAGCCGATGATATTAACTTACTTATTTTCACCACAAATACGCCAACACATTAGCCGCATTAATCTTAGTTAAAATAAATCCCCATTGATGCACAGTAATGCATTTATATAATTATGTGTAAATGCCATTTTGTATATTTGATGCATTTACCTCATTTATTGGTTAAATATACAAGAAGGCATTTACAGGATTTGAACAGATTTATCCTTTTGGACCCAATGTTATCATTATATAAAATAATTCATGTCCATATCATATCATGTATTTATGAATATTTAGGCCTAAAGAGAAATATATTTTGCACGTTCCATGTTTTTTTGAAAACTGATTTCAAAATTGACCAAGCCTTTTCGCTATCTAAGAGAAAACGTAACCGAGACTTTTGCCAGTGATGGGAACTTTCTTTCAATTTTTGCGATACAATTTACATTGCATGGAACAGCACACATTTTTGTTATACTACTCAGTGGCGGATATGGGAACCAACAAGGGGATGAGCAAATTTCATGACTGATAAAAAATTGCGCGCCGGCTTTCGCGCAAAAAATTGTTCGAATAAAAAATTATTCGACTCATGCCCAGGAAGTTCCAAATATCATCTTAGAATTGTAAAATTTTCTAGGAGAGTGGGCCACCCCTCACATCCTCCACAAAATAATTGAAAAAAATCTGGATTTCATGTATTGTCTCAGAACTCAGACACGACTTTTAAAGTGTTTTTAAGGGGAGTGGGCTACTCCTCACACCCCCAACAAAACAATTGAGAAGTTTGGAAGTTTTTGAAAAATTTGTTAATCTAAACACTTTAAAAGTGCTCAGAAATCACTAAGTGACATAATGAAATCATAAAAGTTTTTGGCACCCTACCCCAAAAACTAAAGCATTCATTACATTAAAAGTTCTCAGACAGCATCTTGAATTAGCAACATTTTCCTAAGCTGCCCCTCGCTCCCCCAAGAAGAAAATGAATGAAAACTATGAATTTCTTTTGATTAATTCTATTGATTAAAACCGCGGGATTAAAACACTTGATAAGTCTCCGGAAATCACCGACTGTGATCTTAACTGGTAAAAGTACTCGGGTAACATTTATGCCCTTCTTGCACAGCCCCCCCCCCCCTATTCGAATGTATTTCCAAATTGCTTATTTAAAATTTAGTCTAAAACCAAAAGATACTACATAATAGGCTGAGTGGCCCCACTATAGGGAGTAACAACCCCCCTCCCCTTATCTTCTTCCGCTACTCATGCCACATCTCGAGTAACCCCCCCCCCCCCTGAGTCTGACCTACGCGATTTGATTTACGCGGCAAAAATTTGACAATTTTGTCTGCTGTGGCCGGTGGTCGGAGGTCAGAGGGATCGGTCTTTTCCATACACCTCATTTGGTACTAGTATTTTTAATCGTTCGCAAAATTACTGCGTTAGTAATATTTAAGAATTCGTTTCACAGTTTGTAGTTATCTTTTAGACGTGACTCATCCGGAAGTTTGTAAAAATAAAAAAAGTGAGTAGTTATGGGGCCCTAGTTATGTCAATTTATGTCCTCTGTATGGATAAAATACTCATTTGGTTACTAAATAATAATTGAATACATAACAAGGTTCTAAATACGACGTTATTTAGGGGGGTATAACACGTACAGATACACATATAATTTGTAATATGGGCAGCTGCAGAGTTCTGCAGCAGGGAGAGATTGAATAATTTTATCACTCACTGTTTTCAGTTTTGTTTCCTCATTACTTACAATCTGTTTCTCTTAGATCTACTCTTTTAAAAAACTCAATAATAGGTTTTCTCAAGAATACATGTAGGAAACGAATTTCCCGGAAGAATTTGTACCATGATTTTGTGCTGAAATATCAACGTTAGCTGCTAAATAAGGTGTCATGGAAGTACAAATATGTTATCCTGAGCTAGGAACGAGCGCAATTTTTTGCCTGTACGATTACAACTTGGGAGAATTTTCTACGCCCCTTACACTTAGGTGCCTACTTCAATAGATTCCTGGGTATTTTAGCATTCAATTCGTTAAGTTAAATCAACAATTGTCTGGGTATATCGGCAGAACGGGAACATTTTTCTTTTTCGTTTAGAGAGATTCCATCACTTTTCAAGATGGCGTTTGATTTAAAAGGGGATTCCCCGTTTGACTGGCCCGGAAGTACCAATAAATTGAGGAATTTGACGGTTTAAATAAGTTAAATATTACATGCAAATATTGCGATCAAAAACGTTCGTTCTGCCGATAAACCCAGATAATTGTGGATTCAACTACAGGAAAAGAATGCTAAAATACCAAGGAATCTATTGAAGTAGGTATCTTAAGTGTAAGAAGCGTAGAAAATTTTCCCATGTTGTAATCCTACAGGCAAAAGATTGAGACGTTCTCAGGACTATAGTCCTGGCACGGGGAAACAAATATGTACTCCTAGCTATTTTTCAGTCACATTTGCAGAGGGCTGAAAAGGTTATTTCATCATGTTTATGGTCATTCTGACCATTTCTATTGTGTTCCCGATCATGTAAATGATATGTGGAACTAGTTAAACTGACTGGATATCCAAACAGAACTGTTATCTTGGTTCAAAAAGTTACAAAAAATCCAGCATGGTTTTGTCACTTTTTGTTTTGTCTCAGATTTGAAAATGCCTAGCGCGAATGCTGTTTCCATGGCACCTTAAGGTACAGCTGGAAACTAACATTTTGGTAAAAATTGCTATACCTGCACATGTTATTTTCTGGTACAAAATAAAGTATGAAGGCATGTGTCAATTTCCTTGCTTTTTTCAGGAAAGTATCATTACATTGTCTTCTTTTAGAATATCTGGTAGGAGTTCAATGGGAACTCCAGGAAATTTTTACCAAAATGTTACTTTCCAGCTGAGCCTTAAGGTCAGGGTGCATAATCGGAATTTTGCTGTGCCCTCAATTGAGTCACATGTTATTTTTCAAATTTGAATCACTCCTTCCCCATAATCTCAACATCTCTTACTTTTCCACAACAAGTATACTAATGTACCTAGAAAAGAATGTGAAGAAGAATGTTTTGATAAAATGTTTTTTCCAAATTGATGTTTAACAACTGAGAAGTTGCATGTTGTATTATTTTTCAATTATGATAACCATTTTTATGAACATGTATTTGGGAGAATTTCATTTCATTTTCCCCCAATATTGTACTTTGAAACCTTAATTCAACATATTCCGGATCTTTTGGTAGATATTGTATTTGATATGGTATGAAATAGCTTGGTAGGTCAATTGTTTATGTTGCTTGCAAATTTGTCATTCTGGACCCTATAGATCTGATTCTTTCTTTAGGCCTTGCCATTTGAACATAAACAATTTCTGTTTTCAGGCTACAATGAGTAAAAGAACCAACACTACTGCAACTGCACGGTTAAAGCAGGATTATATGCGCATCATGAAAGATCCTGTTCCATATGTCCAGGCAGTTCCCCTTGCATCAAATATATTAGAATGGTATGTTATTTTTACAGAAGCTCTGAGGTCTAATATTTATAACAACCCTCTAACACAAATAGACAATTTTATAATGATTAAAATAAAAGAAGATTTAATGACCCCAAAGGTTACTGATTGAAAATGGTAATTCCATGGCATCATGAACTAGACATCACCCATGATTTTCTCACAGATACATTACTTGTTGATTAGGGCCGGGAGGTTAAGTTACACGTTTTAAGAGTGTTTTTACATGAACATGTAGAATTATTGTCCTTTAGGGATAAACCATCCCCTGTCGTAGTAATGCTTGCCCAATTCAGTATAATTGAGTAAGAAAACGAGTCAGAATTAGGTCCCTGGAAAAAGCAATTGAAGGAAGGCAGTATTCCCCAGGGGTCATAATAATGTATTTCATGTTAATGTACAAGTTCCTTTAAAACATGTAGCTTTACTTCCCTATTATTTCATCACTTAGAGGTACTTGGATTGACATCTATTGAGTGTTCAATTATAAACGATAATGATATCTTGCTATATTTTCAGGCACTATGCCGTGGAGGGACCTGAAAAATCCTTGTATGAAGGTAGGTGTGATAATTCTTATTTATTCTGACAATTAAAACGTGCCTCAATTCATATCATGAAAATTAAGGACCTAGTAAATTATTAAGGATATGAATCCAAAACCCAGAATTGTAGGATGATTAAATAACGTATGTGTTGTTTCAGGACTTTGCATGAGTGCGGCAGCATGAAGGCAAAGTCTATGAAACAATGCATGAGTGGATTACTTTACCATTTGATGTACATAAAAGCCCAGCTTGTTATTGTTTACAGATTTTCACTCAACTATGAAATTGAAATTGATGTAATCAGTTTCACTAGAATATAAAATTAGTCCAGGTGCATTAGAGAGGGTATGTGGTCAGTGTGTATAAAAAGGGAATTGTTTTGACATCGTAAGTTTATGAATCAACTCAAATGATGAGACTATAGAAGATTGAGACTTACAATATTCTAAGAATCCCTGAAAAAAATGACATACCTATCAGACATGAACTACATATCACCCTTAAAATTAAATGCCCACCAGATTACTTTTGCCCTTAAAATTTTTGTAGTTTAAGAAATTAAACTGATAATTAGTTTTTGAGGTCCAAAATATTTGGAATAATTTATCAGGTATGAAAGACACTACAGCAATTGTGTGTTTGTGTGAGAGTTCATTTTTCTGACTCAAATTGCGATGTATTGCATCTTGAGCTTGTGCATTTTCTGAGGATATTTCAGGTGGCTACTACCATGGGAAGCTGGTCTTTCCACGTGAGTTCCCATTCAAGCCCCCAAGCATATACATGATTACACCCAATGGCAGATTCAAGTGCAATACTAGGTAAGCATATATTTTCATTTTCTGCTTTCATTTTTGCGAAAGTAGACCTACCATTTGTGATTTTGCTTGGTTTTCACCAGTTTTATCGATGTTGTCCTGATGTTGTTTTGATATTTAATATGGGGTACTGAAAGTTCCACAGCAGTGTATAGTATGGAATAAATCTGTTCTGTTAAAATTGTTCTGTTAAAAAAATAGTTAATGATGAATATAAACAAGTCCAGTCTATCTTAGGAAACATTTGGAGAAATCATATCAGTTTTTCTGTTCAATTTTGATTTTGATGAATCCTAGAATAGTATAGATTCATATGAAATTACTTTTTGTCTGCATCTTTGGCTTTCTCTTGAAAGCCCATGTCTGCATCCTTTGGTCACAGGACTACAAAAAGATTCCAGGTGAATTGTAACTGTTATGCAAGATTCTAGGAATTTATAAATCTAAATGCAACATTTAAGGATTTTGTAAATCTAAATGCAACATTTTAGGATTTTGTAATTCCGCTGCAACTTTGCAATTTGAAGTGGAATATTTTAGGATTTTGAAAAATTTCAGTTTTTGAAATAAAAGGTTTATTTGGGACTAATTGATTTATTAGACTGTTAGAAGCAATTCTGGATGCTAGGAATTATACTGAGGTGTTGCTAAACAGAAATTTTATGTAGGGAGAGCCTGCCCTCGAAGGATGCAGTTTTTTAGCACATAATATGTAGATTCTATCTGTTATTTTAGATTATGCTTATCAATAAGTGACTTTCATCCTGACACTTGGAACCCTGCATGGTCTGTTTCTACCATCCTGACAGGGTTGCTTAGCTTCATGGTAAGCATTAACATCTTGAAATAACTCAGTTACCCTGGGTAAAAATTGATTAATGATTAACGAAGATAAAATATTATAAAAAAATTTACATATCCATATACTTTCAAATCATTCTTTCTTGTTATAGATTTAAGGAATAAATTCAGAAATGAAGAGTCCAGTATCATTCTTTATTGTAAATTTAAAGGCATGATTGCATGCACGAACCCATATACATATTAACACGAGGGCAGAGCCCAAGTTCATTATCAGGATTGGTAAGTACAGCATGCATGAATGCTTTTAAATTCAATAACGAATGATACAGGGTTTTTAATGGTAATTCAAATATGCTATCGATCCAATTCTTTATGAAACCAAAATGCACTGTGATGATGTCACTGTTTTACCAATAATGGCACTGCTCAGTCAATTATGAAACCATAAAGCACTGTGAAATTATGTTTCTGCTCAGTTAACCAATACCTTGGAATAATGCACTGAAATATCAGCATATTTGAAAATTCAGTTTGAATAATACCTTAAGTTGTATGCAGTTTTTGGTTGTGAATGTTGTTTAAGTAAAAATCTTATGTATCCATGTTTTAAGCCATTCTTCATTATATTATATTTCAGTTGGAAAAAAGTCCTACCTTAGGTAGTATAGAAACATCAGATTACACAGTAAGTTCCCAGTTATATTGCATTATTACCACCTTGCCGGGCCAGTTCTAGGGGTTTTATTGCTAGTTTAGAAGTCGTTCATTTTACTATATCGACCTAAGAAATGTGTGACGTCATAGTGGTGGTCCATATGGACCAGTCTAGAATATATTCTGGACCGGCAATTTTCCCTGGGAAATTAGATATCGTTCAATGCGTAAGATTTTCTTGCTGTTTCAGTCCTGGTCGTTAACGTTGGTAATAATACTAATAACGTCATTTCTGCGAGCAATATTTAGCAGTTATGTCCCTATCATTGAATATATGCCTAAGGTCTGTCACCGCCCGAGCTTGCGAGGGTTATATTACGACAGACCGAAGGCATATATTCAATGATACGGACATAACTGTTGTATTACATACTTTTATATCATGGCTACGTTATATCAATGACGCCACGTGTCTGTGTGCGAGTGAAATTAGGAAGAAATTAAACATGACGTCCCGATGACGTCATAAGATTGTCATGGTAAAAGGTTTGGCCGCTATACAGGAATATATAGCCGACCTTCAGCTCCATTGACTTCAATACAAATGCTTCGCTGGGTATGTAATACAGTGAAATATTGCCTTAAGAAATGACGTTATTGTACTAATCATATCAAACCATACAGAATGATACATAGAGAAGAATATTGTTACCGCTAAAATTTCTTTAACTAAATGTGAATAAATAGTGTGTAAAAGAATGAATAATTTCAGAGTTGCCTTTTATAACTGTTTTTATGGAATCTTCATACTTCTGATCATTAGTTTAAAATTTGAAATATTGCAAAGATCCTGAAGTACATCAAGATTACATAACCAAAAGAAAAAAAAGATTACATAACCATATAACTAATATGTTTGCTCTTATGTTTTTCAGAAAAGACAGTTGGCTGCCCAGAGCCTTCATTTTAATCTACAGGACAAACAATTTGTTGACTGTTTTCCAAATTTAGCTGAGGTAAAAATGTGTACATTCATGTACAAGTTTATGTACTGAAGTGTTAATTGTTAATATACTATCACATATCCAAGAACTATGTTATTACACAGCACATTTTAATTTTGATTTCTAGAAATGCCGCATAAATCATTCATTGGTGCATAATTTTTGCATAATATACACTTTTCTAAAGAATATCTCACCTGATAATTTGTGTTTTTTTACTGCATAATTTTTGAATCTCTGATATACAAGTTAATCTTCTAACAATCATTGATTTAATGTACAAGTTTATGTACTAAAGAGATGTGTGTATTGATGAATATGCTCACAAATGTTTTTGTTAATGTTAACATGCAAACTGTATACTTTTCATAATCATTTCATGTGAGATTTCAAAATATTGCCATGAGTATATTCTTTCTCATTGGGTTTATTGCTGCTTTTCTTGTGAATCTCATTTAAAAAAGAATTGATTGAAAATATGTTGTTAAATGTTTTTGCATATCTTTAACAATATGATTGACCCAGAATCTTTATTTAAATAGGAGATGAGGCAGACACTTAAGAAACGTGAAGAAGAAATGGCTCGTAGCGCAGAATTAAACAATAGATCTGTAAATGCAGGTAGGTTCAAAAATTAGATAGACACATGAAAGAACACCATTTGTACTTAATCCACGTGGTTAATAGTAATGATAATGGTTTTAGTTGAGTTGTCATATGATCACTATTTTTCAGACTTGTGTTGGTAATATGCAGAATAAATCAATCATTTTTTAGTGATTTTTGTTGGACTAAAAAAGCTAAAATTTTGAATTTATGAACCCAAGTGGAAATCGTTTACCATGTTTTCATGGAAATTTTAAAGATAATTGTTTCAACACCTGATAGATCCTACATTAAGAGCATATACATACAACAATTTAATAATTATTTCTCAATAGTTTTGTTTTCTTAGAAACCAGATACTGTACTTCGACTTAATTTGGTGCTATTTATATTGGCAAATTTGCTGTTTTAAACATTTGGCGGCTACTTAATTTGGCAGACTTGCAATATAACAATGCACCAATGGTACTTAGTTACTTGGAACTAAAATTACCGGGGATGTTGGCGGCTACTAAATTTGGCAGACTTTAACGATTTGGCAGATCCGCCTTATTAAAATGACCGCTAAATTAAGAAGAATTGAAGTATTACCAATGTGATTTTAATGTAAATCATGTGAGGCTCAAAAATGAATGGACTTTTTTTGATTAAAGTTGCAGTAATCTTTGATATTTTGCCGTATTTCCAAAATACCACCCATCGATTCTATAAAATGCATTAATATTTTGTAATTTCAGGGCTTGCAAATTCTAGTTCAAGGGTCCAGGGTGTGAACGGAGCCAATGAACAACAAGGACTTCTAAATAGTGCACTCACTAACATATGTGTAATCATAGGATTTGCTGCATTCGCATACACAGTCAAATATGTACTAAAAAATATAGTTGAATAGTACTTGATGATTTTACATAGACTATTTCAACTAAGGCTATCGTAACTAAGGCATGTTGGGAGAATTTATTATAAATTAAAGCTGTAAATCAAAACACATGGTGTACAGGAAATAATAATGCAAGTTCTCTAACTTAAAAGAATTTCATCCAATGACAGACTTTAAAAAATGGATAGGAACTCCCCATTGAGACACTCGTTTCAACATAAAAAAGGTTCACATAGTTACTCTCTGCCTGTGTACTATTTGAAAGCTTATGTCCTCAGAGGCATACTTTTTTATATTCTTTGTTATACTTTGCAGAGGTTTTGTGATACAAAACAGTTAAATCATCAAGTATTTTAAAATATTCTCTATTATCTGGCACCATTTCTGAAGTGAGACCTCGATTAGGATTTAAACCCTGGACTTAGTGCATAGTGTGCTGAATCATTACATTGAAGGTGTTGTTTCCAAGTCTGCATGACCCTGCAGTGGGAATGCTAAATTTAGGAAACAACGTCTGAGTGGAATGAAGCAACCACAATCCATTGAGTCTTGGGCTTAAATTCTTTTCACACATTGCAATATATTTTCTACAAAATCACCTAAAAGATACAAAAATCACTTAGAGAACATATGTTGAATGTAACTTTTTGCGAGGGTCAAGTTGGCAAAGTATCAATCCTAGAGTCCAGTTATCACCTTGACAACCATTTAACTTGTGACCTTGATTTGGTTATTAATGTCATGCAGTTATGTGAAACAGTGCTTCTGATTGGCTTGAATGGGATACACCTTGCCTAGTATGTGTGAATTATAAAATTGTTAATGTAGATTGCAAATAATGGTTTAATGAAATTTTAGAGATTTGACAGGGTTTCATTATCAGCAGGCAACAGGTGATTTTCAACGGTTGTTTTCACAAAGAAATTGTGAGATATTCTAGTGAAACCCCTGCTGTAATTTCTGGAATTCCAATGTTTTTCTTTTAGTTTTTTCCAATGCTACATTATATCAATTCAGAAGGGTTTTGATGTATTCAAGGCATTAGGGTATAAAAAGAGTGTATTGAGACTTGCCTATAATATTGGTATTTCTGTATTTTAAACTACCCAAAACAAAATCATATTAAAAAGCAGTCTGAAATTTGTCTCTGTTTTCTAATTTCTCAGTTTTCACCTGATTTAACCAGGTAGACCTTAAACTAGATTCAAAATTTATGGTTAAGAAAACGGGAAATATGCAAAAAGCAAATGCATTATTAATGTATTACATGTACTTTGCATTTTTTATTATTTTTTACATTTTTCAGACAAAGTACACTGTATCATGAAATATTATTACAATAATTACATTCTAACAATGCTAATTATACAAAACTGTGTATTATAATACAATAGGCAGTCCCTTTAAATATGACTGCAGCTTTATTGCACATCATACAGGGTGTTCAAAAAAAAACGCAACCCAAAGAAATTGCTATATCTTGAAAAATACTGGGTCAATTATGTTCATATTTTCAGGAAATAAAGAAGAGACTGTGTATGTATAGCTCCTGTAAATGGTTAGTTGTAAAACATGATGCCTTGGACTCCTTCTCAAAAGACAGATGTACTAGCAAAATGCGAAAAACGCAGTCAGGGGTGACTGCAACCGCACAAAAATTAAATAACTTCCTAACCATAGTGTTTTGGCTCTTCAAATTTGGCACAAACTATCTTCATTCACTGTATGATAATCTGTAGAGTGAAATCAAAATCACTTCAGGGACTTCACTGTCATGGTTGAAATGCTTTCAAAACGCAGCCAAACACTCTGGTTCAGGGAGACTTAAGAAAGCATTTTGACCATGACTATAAAGTCCCTGGAGTGATTTTTATGAAACTCCACAAATTCACCACACATTGAATGAGGATAATTTGTGCCAAATCTGAAGTGCCAAAACACCATGGTTAGAAAATTATTTGGTTTTATTGCTGTGGCAGTCACCTCTGACTGCGTTTTCATATCTTCCTTGTACAACTGTCATTTGAGCAGGTGTCCAAGGCATCATGTTTTACAACTTACTGACAACAGGAGCTTTACAAGCACAGTCTCTTCTTTCTTTTCCTGAAAAAATAAACATAATTGAATTAGTATTTTCCAAGATATAGTTATTTTCCATTCGCGTTTTTCGTACTTTGTTGGTACAACTGTGTTTTGAGCAAGTGTCCAAGACATCATGTTTTTCAACTAACTAACAATGGGAGCTATACATACACAGTCTCTTCTTTCTTTCCTGAAAATATGAACATAATTGGATCAGTATTTTCCAAGATATCGCGATTTCTTTCTTTGAACACCCTGAACTATCTTGAATATACAAAAGGATGTGTCTTTTTTCCATATACTATTGCAATGTCGTCCTTTGATTGCTTATTTTTTAGACTCAAAGTTATCGAGTAGCGCTAAAGGGAGGAATTGTAAGGAGATCAATACTATGAGTTTCTCAGTTTTATTCTATTTTGGGGTTGCTTCTCATACGCATATCCAGCAATGGCATATCAATTGTATATTCTGTTGCTATTTTCAGTTGTGTTGAAATATTCATGCTATATACTTACATGTAGTTGCGTGGCTATAAATATTGTGTAGAAATCATTTGGTTGGAATCCTTTAAGTTAGGGTAGGTGTACCTTCATTTCCTAGACATCCTGTAGGCTTCTATATAGAAATGTACAAACATCACAAACAGAATATGCTTAACAAATAGTTTGATCACAACTCTGTTGATTAATAAGTAATGAGAAAAAACTTGCTCTTCATTTTTTTTTCATTACTTCCAAATTGTAATGTACATGCGCTGTGTGCTAACCCATCTTTAGAGTTTTGACTACCAGTCATTATGGTAAAAAAGTTACAATACTATTCAAGTGGGATTGAATACATTTTCAGCATGTGCAACTGAAACAAAAAAGAATATTTTGGTTGTAGCATTGAGACATTTTGCAATGAACTCAGTAATCTGTTCTTAGGTCGATAGACATTAAATGTTAAACAGAGCTGTCTACTAAACATGTTAATATTAATGTATGATTTTTATGTCACCAAGGTACCAAGAAGTGGTTATTTTATAGCCAACATTTTTTGACTTGTATTCCAGATTACATTTTTTCATGTTGCTTTGTTGAAACCTTGGCATTGAATGGCCAGACATAATTATCCCAACGAACGAAGTTCGGTAGGGATATAGTGAAGCCCTCCGTCCGTCCGTCTGTCTGTCTGTCCGTCAGTCAGTCCGTCAGTCAGTCCGTCCGTCCGTCTGTCCGGAAGATAACTCAAATATTAGTTGACGGATTTTTGGTGGAAAGATGTATATTGATGAATAGTTTTACGCAAAAAAGATGGCTGCCATTTTAAAAATGACGGGACTTTTTCGCAAAAATCATAACTTTTTCATTCTAAACCAAAGTAATCAATATTATTGTTTGAAATTTTGGTAGTATATTCGCAACATCTATCTATTTCACATATATTCTGTGTTTTTCATCCTGACCCCCAGGGGCCGTGTATGGGGGGTCAGGAAAACAGAAATTTTCGCTAATTTTTAGATCTTTCTGAAGTACATGTATAGCTTTATTATACTCAAATGAAAGGCAATTAAGAGTAGATTGCAGATATTGTATCTTTTTTCTGGTTCGAGCCTCGTAAAATTCAAAATGGTCGTCTAATGTATGATTTCGCAATAATTTTTCGATCCCTTCAAAGTATGGCTATAATATACTCAAAATGAAGGAATTTTGGAGTAGATCACAATTATAGTATTATTTTTCAGATTTGTACCTCAGAAAATTCAAAATGGCTGCTTTGCAGGAATTCACAATTCTAAAATCTATATTTTTCAATTTTAACCAAAGTAATGAGTATAATTGATTGGAATTCGGTAATTGATATTTTGTTCGTTGGGATTTGCTACTCCGCGGAGTTGCCGTTATCTAGTTAACATGTTGTCGTGGCAATTTACTGAAATTAGAAATAAGAGCAATTTTCTCATTACTTATCTGTATCACCCTGTAATTATATTTATTTAAAGGGAATATGTAATATTTTTTATAGAAAAATAAAAGCAGAAATAAAAACATATTTATCTCAGGTTTATCCATTGTTATGAAGAAAACGACTGTAAATTGCTTTAATTTTGTGATTCATTAAATCTGTAAAAGGTACAAGATTGTTAGTTAAGCTTCAAGACATAAATGTCAGGATTTTCAATAAGGTAAAGAATTTAGAGGGAGAGAATTATATATTGGTCATTCAATATGGTGAAATTCAGTTGGAGAGAATGTTGTACAAAGTGAGAACCAAAGGTGAATGCATTTGTACTGAAATTCTTTCAAAACGTGTGGAATTTCACCATATTGAATGGCCTTTCATTCATTCATTCAAAAATAGGGTGGGGGGGTTGGGTGTCAAGGAAAGGTCAAACTTGAGGTGACACCACAAAACATTGCAGATTCAAAAATTAAAGAATGACTGTGACGCAATCTGATTGGATGAGACTTATAGAGCATGATAAAGTTGATTTATTTTTTGCACCCATTCTGTTCATTTATCTTGAAGATGGTTAAAATAGTTAAAACATTTTACACAAAAGATGTAATATATGTTGTAAATAGTGGTATATTTATTTCAATGATATAAAATGTACAAGGGAGAGATTATCATTTAATATATCAGCTTCTTACAAAAATGTTGCTTATGATTTATAAAAATAGTAAGCAATTTAATAAAATATATGCTTAATATTACAAAGTGTGCCAATTACATCTACAAAAGCATGTGCCTATGTTGAGTCACATTTATAAAAGGGAGAATCGGAGAGTTGGAACCTTTTCAAAATAAATTCGAACCTCAAGATTCTTCCTTAACACATATTAAACTTACAAATGCTGCCTTATATTGCAGTATTTCAAACAGTGTGATTTAAATGCTTAACATAAGTATTGAAAAACAGCTAAAAGAGATTATGCCTCCCTAAGTTAGCTAAATTTTAAGATACATATATACAATACTTTCAAAAACCAACAATAAAAATCAACAAGGATATACAGCCTGATCAAACATCATTTTTAGTTTGACTGGGCATATATCACCACAGCACCTTAACAGAGTAGTTAGCTAAGTTAATACTAAGATGTGTGTTCAGTTTTTACTGCGATGGACTGACATTTTTTTAAATGAACCATTAGCATAGAATTTTTTTCAAATCAACTTTAATTCATCCCGAGTTCTTCATATTGTGATTGCAAATTGTTTTTATATGAAATTGCACTGCAATGTTGTAACTGTACTGAAACTCAGAATAGATCATTATCCATTCCCATACATATTGGATTAGTCTTATAATAACCAGCATTTTCCAGCACACTAGATGGCGCACATATCCAGGCATCATCAGTTGCATTCTGCCATCTATTCAGCCTTTCACTAAGCTCTTTATATATTGGTTGATAATCTCTGATATATGCCAGGTTTTTGGTTTCTTTTGGATCAGCAATTAAATCATAAAGCTCCCATTGTTCCCTGTAGTAATACTCTTTCAGGGTCTTGAACCACTGAGTAGGTTTACCTTGTTTTGTATGATTCAAAATATCTTGGAATGACGGTGCAAGATAAAAATCCTGGTCTATAGGAAATGGCATTTTATAGTTCAGATTATGAATAAGCTTATACTGTTTTGTGCGAACTGCCCTCATTGGGTAATACATTGTGACCTCATGAAGATTGTGACTCGTAAAAACTGCATCAGCGCTGGCACTGTGGTCTTTGATCAGTGACAGGAGAGAATTGCCGGTCAACTTGACCTCAGGGTGGGTATGACCCTTTAGGATCTTGTAGTGAGGGTATGATAGACCATACCAGTCCAGTATTGTGGGGACAATGTCTACATGGCTCACCAGGCCATCATTTACCTGGAAAAATCAATGATTGATGACATTCTGAATTTTCAGTGGCACAATTCAAAAATACATGTACAACATAATACAATGTATTCTACTCAATATACCTTCAATTTGAGCCATTTACTTAGCAAAAAAAGTTTTGAATGTAATAATGTTAGATATTTTCATTTTGTACGATAAGCTGCCAAAATTTCATAAGCGAATAAAGACCATTCAAACGAATGTGTTTATACAAGTAATCTTGAATCATATTAATCCCATTGAATGAAGTTGAGGTGAATATAGATTAGAAAATGCCTTCTTCTATCCAAACATACATCCAACATCCAGGAACATGTTAAGACCTAAATTAAAGCAGTTAAGTTTGATAGGTCCAAGTTTAAATAGTACCATGACAATACTCATGAGGCACAGCATTTAAAACATAACATTAAAACATACTCATGAGGCACAGCATTTAAAACATATTAAGTGATTTCCTTACCTTTCCCCAAGACTCTGGATGTTGAGGAGATGAGATGAAGAATGGCTCTCTGATACCAGGATCATAAAAGTTGGTACGTCCTGTGGGGAATGGAATCCCATTATCTGATGTGTACATTACAAGAGTGTCCTTGTCATGTCCTGCTGCAGCTAACTCATCCAGTATCAGACCCACTCCTAGAGTAGCAATGTCAACAATCAACATGTATGACATGTATGAGAGAGAGGACTTCAATCTAAGGGAAATCATACAGTCTTACACAACGATGAAAATCATTTTTGAATTGTGTTAACAAAGAAATACAGTATCATCAATGAATCAGGACTTTTCTGCTTCTTAAATCTCTAATAACTTCTGATATGGGTTATGACACCCATTCGCCTAGATTGAATGCGCTGGCGCTCAAGCCCTCTCGATAAACTGACAACCCCGAAAAAAGTTGTTTTTTAGTCAATCTGACTAGACATGCTAGAGGGTGTGGGTGTTAAGGCTTGAACACACCAGAGGAAGCACAATGGACATTTTCTACACAAACACACAAATTGTTCATTTAAAAAGAATTTTCTAACCTTGATCCAATCTACTTATTGTTGCATACTGGGCTGCAATGTCCTCTCTTGCAGCAGGGGTGTCCTGGATGAAGTATGGGACCACTACCTCCTCTGGTTTATAATACCTTGGGGTCCAATCATCAATTTTCCCCATACCTGGGTCACCATTTCCAAACTTTTCACAGAAGGTGCCATACTGTGGCTGTGTATGGCCGCATCTGTGGGGGTCGTGAAAACCAATGTATAGGAAGAAAGGGCTGGAGGTATAATATTAGCAGATTTACAATTTGCTGAACGGTAGAATGCTACAAATGGTTTTAATCAGATATTTTCATAAAGGCAAAACAATGAAAAACAAAAGACAAAAGAATTCATAATTTTATAACTGGATTTATTTCTTTTACAAAATTCCTTAAAATAACAGGTGTTTTTGGGTAAAAAACTGGCATTTTTTGGGAAAAAAACATGCATTTTTCTCCTATTGCCTACTGGCAATGAGGCTCAATAACTCATTTTATTCTGAACCAAGATTAAAAAAATAAAATAGTACAGTAAAACCGTTATAGGTGGCAGGAATTGGCTACAATTATTCACTTCAAAGGGGTTCCACTTAATACAGGTTTTTAATCATAATGGCTTACCTAGATTTATTATGATTCAGAAATTCTCTGACCAAGTGCTTTATAAGAGTGATGTTTCTCCCAACTTGAAGTATTTTATTATTCTCCTCTGTATGTGCGAAGTCAAATGGATAGACAGCTTCTGGACCAACATGCTTTTTTCCAATTATACCTTAATCAGAGATAATGTATAGAATTGGATTATTATTAGTAATTTGGAATTACATACATAGATCAGGAAACAAAAAATAAAGGGCAACATTTGTAATATCTATTAACTGAAATACACATACGAGGGGTGATTCAAAAGTAATGAACAAATTTTTATAGGCATATTAAACATTACCCAATCAGTGCAATTTTTTCAAAGACAATATTTTTCAATTATCTACTAGATATCAAGTTCTTATTTAAATGCATTTAATATTGTTTCAGCTATGCATAACCATGGTAACTAGAGTAAGCATAGGCGGAATCCATTTTTGAATTGTAATTGAATATTTTTGTCATTTCTTTTTGATTTCATGTGAATGACTCAACACACTTGTTGGGTCTATAAAATGCTAATGCAATTGTCAAGGAAGACTCAAGTTTCCATATATATGCAGGTGAGTTCTAAATTGAGCAGCAAATTGTGCTGTATCAATGCGATGATATTTTATAGAATAGTGAGTTCAAGAGAGTCAGACTCCACAATTCACAATGTGTTCTTTACAACAGATTAAAGTTAAACAAAGAATTGTTGGTTATATTATATAATAGTATAGTATAATTGATAGCAACTGGAGACACAAGGAAAATCAAAGACACACATGAGACAAGGCCTTGTCAAGGCAAGCCATTGAGAGATAGTACAAGCACAGTGGTGATAAAAGGAAATTCACAAAAGCCTGGCCACCCTGATAACAATATGTAACAATGTTATCTTTGATTCCCATTTTACAATTTATTAGATGGCACCTTTGAAGTCTTTTTTCTGTCTGTTATCAAAACAAAAATAGTCTTAAAGATCTTGTTAGCTTGTGGTACATGTACTGTATATTCTAGTTCCATCATCCGCATGCATATGGCCCCAAATCAAAATGGGCAAATTGATGTACCATTGTAATTTTTGAGCCTGTAACTCCCACCATTTTGCCTGCCGATACAGTAATTTGTTCCTATATATATCTTTTATTGATTCTCTGATGTCATGACAATGGCATATTAGTCACAAACATGGTCCCTACCTGTCCTTATGCCATTCTGCTGTAGAATCATTGGTAGACTGCGGACTCCATCAAATGAGTTGAAATGGTGAACATCATGATGTAGACCATACATTCCATTCTGATGTATGGGCAGACCACTCATAATAACAGACCTATGTAAAAACAAAGAACATGATTAAAGTTAATCTTTCCTGCTTAGAGGTTTTCTCAAGGTATACATACTTAATTCTACATCTAAAATTAAGTTAACGAAATGTTGTTATGATACCAATTTGTTCAAGAACAAACACGTATTTGAGGAAATATCACAATAATTTTTTACTGAAACAAGATCTTTTATAGTACTAAACCACCACTCTCTCTCCGAAATTTATTATTAAATTAAAGTGATACTAAAGTGATACTTCATTCTACATCCAAAATACAGTCCAAAAGAATGTTAAATGATACCAATTTGTTCAAGAACAAACATTATCTTTAGATAAAATATTACAAAGACATTTTTACTCCTTTCAGTTCAAAAATAGTATTTTACCCTGTTAGCACTCTCTTCTAAATTAAGGTGATATCATAAGTATATTGAGTTTAATGGGAATATGAGATAGGCCCCTACATATATGTCACCCTCTAAAAGGGATCAGTATTTAACTATGAAAAGCATCACCTAATTATACTAATGGCAACTTACAGCGTATTACATTCTTCAATTTGTTTCTCATTAACCACAGCCAATTCATTAACAATACATGTACGAGGGATTCTTCAGCTACAATAATGAGCTTCACTCAAGGGTATCTCCTACTGCGATTGCCGTTTTTATTGTAATATAAGGTAATTCTTCTCATAGTGTCTATATTCTTGTTGTGAAGCTCTTTCAATTAATTAATATCATCTACACACTGTCAATATTATTATTTACTTAGTATTTGTTTAGTATTATATCAATATATTTCGGGAATAATATAAATACTGATGATGATAAATATTTTATAAAAAAATCAATAAGAACTTTATGGCAGAGCTTATTGAAATAATTTTGTAACTTAAATATTTAGGAATGCAGGGACAAACAATTAGAAAAGACATCCAACCAGGCAAACCTACATGTAATAATAGAAGTGACGTGCGTTGTTTTCAGTATTTCATCCTTTCAGTATAATGATGTCCATAGCAAAAACAATAATTATACAGTTCAGAATTACTCCAAAAGGCTTTTCAAAAATCCTTTTAACTGCATGCAAAAAACTTATATCTGAAGAAATCATCAATTTTCTCTAAAAGGATAATAATAGTATGATTTTGAAGAATGATGGTTAGATGCGGCATTCATTTAGCTGATAGCAATATAATAAGAACTGTTTACTTTTTAGCAATACTTTATGTCCTTGAGTTAGTAACGCCAAATGGCATGGACTCAATTATATTCAATTATGTGCACTACAGTACTAACATAATTGAAGTGATGACTTATCATCATGACAATGCATGATCATCCTATGAAAATAGCAAAAATATGTTGTACATGTACTTCTAATATCTCTGTAGTCATCTTCTCAACAACTCCTATGGTTTATCGTTATATACCTAGAGTCGAATAAATTAACGATTAAGGAACAATTTGTATATAATTTCATATCAAAATGTTCAATTTTTGTTGTTTCAAACATTTTGATTTCTATGTTGGAGTATAGAAAAGTAGGGGATTAAGAGGATGTCTTATCTGCAAAAATTGAATGACAGAATTCTTCACTGGATAACACCTATACACACTTGAACAGTAGTAATGTAGTTATTTTTAAAAACATGATCAAAGTCATTTCTGTGTGCTACATCAGTAATGCCCAGACACACCACATCCCACATTGTGCCTTTCAAATACAATCTATTTCTATAAATATTATTTCATACAAGTAAATTGCTTGTTATTTCTTCATTCCAAATGTTTCAGATTCTCTTAAAGTAAAAGCCTAGGGGTAAAAGTGGCACTGATTACAAACCTTCGCAGTTTGATACATACGTTTTTCCACTTACTGTTCTAACACTACATAATTATAGCCAGGTATCAAAGCAACAATATGCATTTAAATAAACACAATATGATAATATAATTTATATTCAGATTACGAACCCTGAAACTTATTGATTAGCATTCTATACTCTGAGAACAATTTTGATATTCAAAGGCAGATGGCAGTGCGTGTTAAGATCCTCAATTCTGATTGGGTATTCAGCAGTATTTTTAGGCTGTTCTGATTGGATCATGGGTCGAGTATGAAAACATTCCAAAATGAAGGACCCACAATCCTGTGCTCACACAGTTTGGAACCTTCAGAGGAATTTATATCCTGACTTTCAAACAAAAATATTGATTTGGATTTGTAGTCTCAAACTTTGAGAAACTTAGATAGCATAGTTGTGTGACCTAGTTTGATGACCATTGACCTTGAAAATTGTAATTATTCAGAGCTCAGTAAGGTCTTTTGTGATTAAGCTGACCAAAATTTACATCCAAAAATCAATTTGAAAAATCAACTTTTTGACCTTTCGAAGGTCACTGAAGGTCAAGTAAAGGTCAAATCCTAAAACTAATGTCAGATTTGAACTCCTGGCAACTTGTAGATGATTTTCCAAAAAGAATTTGGTCAAATTGAAGCAAGTTGAAAAATAACTTATTTTTACTGTTTTTTGACGACTCAAATATCTCAAAAACGGTAAAAATTTGATGCTGACATATATTGAGAAATATGTAGGGAATGCTTAAATCTATTAATGATGTAATTTATTGCAGGAAATGATCAAGTATAAGGCAAACTTTAAGAATCTTGTCAATCACAAAACCTGCCATTGACTTTATACATGAGAAATTTTCCTGAAAATGAATGTCCTACTTTTTTTCAAATTTTATAGAGTAAACACCAAAAACCGTAATTCCAAGAGCTTTGAAATCTTCAGAGGACATAAGTTGCATATACACCAACTACTAAAAGTTATTTGAAAGTTCGACTTCAACAAAGTATCTAGTATTTACAGAAAATTTGACTTTTTGACGTCAAAATTGGCAATTTCTCGGAAACCGGGCGAACTTGGGAAATGGCGATGATAGGTCAAATAGGCATTATGGATATGCATAAAATGAATGTGGATATGACTCAATCCGAATAGCAGTTTTAATTTGTGCGGCCAATGTTGACGGACGGACGGACGGACGGACAGAGGGACCAACGGATGGACGGACGGACGCCTGGTCAATCCCATAGGCTCACTGTGTGAGCCAAAAAGTAGCTAGGTGAGTAAAATCTTGCAAAGGGCTACAAGTTCAATATTAATTTGCAAATCTGATAGAGATGTAATTTGGTTGATAAACATGAAACCTCTAGGCTTGTTTATTGATGTATTATACTCAAGACCACTGTAGTGTGGAACGTAATTGAAAAGCTGTTTGATAAAGTGAAGCAGGAGCTGAATAGTCAAAAATTTGAATGCTCTGATACAGCTGAGCAATGAAAGATGGAAAACCAGACCTCAATAAAGATTCAATCAGCTAATTGTTTTTTTTTTCGAATTGCAAAAGGTTACTGAACTACATAACAAACGACTTGTCTATCACTAATTTCGATTTCATCAAATGGAAAACAATTACTGATGATTTCCTATACCATATCAAATACTTCTTCAGATGTAGCAAACACTGTTGGTCCAAACAGACATATTCCAAATTGAAAATATGTACAGTAAAATCTGTGTAAATTGACCAAACATGTTCCTTTAAGACAGGTGTTCCTTACAGAGAGGGCTCACAATCATGTTACTCAATAGAAACTACATATTCTTTATTGAGACATGTTCAAATGAATAGGTTTTACTGTATATAACTGTTTTACCTGCTGGGTGAACAGCTACTAACTGATGTAAATGCATTGGTGAAGACAGTGCTTCTCTCAGCAAGTTTATTCAGGTTCTCTGTCCTACATACTGTATTGTTGTAGACTTGTGTTTCAAACCCAGCATCATCGGCTGAAATAAACAATGATAAACTTGCATTAAGTCCTAGCCTTGTACCGCCCTCTACATGTATTTCTTAACTCAACCAAAGAGGGGGGGGGGAGTGTCGATGCAGTGCTTTTCCTGGTGGAGATAAACTTAATCTTAATGAAGATGATTGGATATGTTTATTTCGTAATTATGGACAATTTATTTCGGGAATGTGGACAACCATTCAGTCATTCTTTACATAGCACTATTAACCACCGACATTTACAACTTGATGATGATTACTTACATGACGAGTATTACACCTATAATTGTTCAGAACCCCCTGCAATCTTATTCACTGGACTGAAGGAGTAGGTGGACAAATTGGAAAATTAGATCTAGTATTTCTCGTGTCTCCCATCACAACAAAGAGTTTACCACTACATGTAACTGGTTTTGAACATGTCCAATCTTCAAAATATAAACTTTACTCTGTACATCATGGGCATTTGTACAATTAGACGGGACTACCCTGCCTCTAGTGATTTTGACTCTCGAGTTTTGACCCTACACTAGAGATTGGGATGGCCCTATGCTAAATTGACCAAATCTCAGAAAAACAAAAATGTTGAACCTAGCACTACTTCGTCAAGATTTCTCATCACCTAAGAAATAACCTTGAAACCCAGAGTGACGAGGTAATCTTTCACAATTTCTTTCATTAAAATTGCTCTAATTTGAACAATTTTCAACAAATGTGCACAAAATATGTAGAGATGATCTCTGCGAACTAATTTTACTAAATTGAGCATTGCAAGTTATATATCTACAGGGTGCTTCATATGTATGCAACCCCTCTAAACTCATACTTGTAGCATTGCCACCCGATCATGTTATATGTCAATTTGTTCTTCATGAAAAATCACATAAGATTGCAAAGTTTCACAAGGCATTCACATGACAAAATGTCACCACCTAGTCCTCACAATCTGACAATATTATTAGTTCAATCTAAGTTGGATTTGAATTTCTGAGAAACTGTAGATAATTTTGCAAAAATGGTCAATTAAGGTAAGTTGAAAAAATACCTTTTTTACCTTGAGAAGGTAATGAAAGGTCAAATCTTAAATCTAAAAATCAGATTTGAATTTCTGAGAACTTGTAGATGATTATGAAAAAGATTGGTCAATTTGAAGCAAGTTGAAAAAAGACCTTTTTGACTTTTTTGACCTTTAGAAGGTCATTGAAGGCCAAATCTGAAAGCTAAAGTCAGATTTGAGATCCTGAGAATTTGTAGGTGATTGTGAAAAAAATTGGTCAATTTGAAGCAAGTTTAAAAAGACTCTTTTGACCCTGGCAAGGTCATTTAGGGTCATTTTGAAGCAAGTTGAAAAATGACCTTTTTGCTATTGAGAAGGTAAAATCTCAAAGCTTAATTGAGGTTCTGAGAACTTTTAGATGATTTTGGAAAAAAATCTGACCCTGAGAAGATCATTAAGGGTCAAATCTCCAATCTAAAGTCATAATTGAACTTCTGCAAACTTGTAGATAATTTTGGAAAAACTTGGTCAATTCGAAGGAAGTTGAAAAAGACCTGTTTGACCTTTTTTGATATCGAGAAGGTCAAATCTCAAAGCTAAAGTCAGACCTGAGCTTCTGAGAACTTGTAGGTTCATTGAAGGTCAAATCTCAAATTGATTTGAACTTCTGAGAACTTGTAGACGATTTTGAAAAAAACTTGGTAAATTTAAAGCAAGTTGAAAAAAGACCTTATGAACTCTTGAAAAGGTCACTAAAATGTCAAACCTCAAATATAAAGTCAGATTTAAATTGACATGAGTTTCTTACTGCATTTGGATCCAATTTCAAGAATCTGCCTACTGACAACAGTGCTGACAGTAAATAATAAAGGTTGGGTTTTCAGACTAAACAGAGTGCTCCTACCAAAATGGATTAGCCTTTATACCACTGAAAACAAAAGTTTTGATATTATAGGTAAAAAGTTCTCTTAAATTTCGAAGTGATTTTACCCGTTAATTCTGTCACTAGTCTGCCATTTTTGCGGGAGTTACACTAAAACACAAACTCCATGGAACGAAACGAAATCACTAGAAAAAAACATAGCACACATTGTGCGCATGCATGGTTAAGTTAAAACCAATCAGATTCTTTGATGCACATGAATTATTTGCTTCTGAGCACCTTCCATTAAAATCTAACCACAATAAATAAACCTGGTGGAGATTACCCTTACTTCATTTTTTGCGAAATTATATGACAAAGGCATTATGCACACGCTGGTTTGAAGCCTTGGAGACACTCATTTTGGTAAATATGATTTAGGGTGTATACTTTTCTGCAGTTTGGGGGAGTTTGGGACATTAAATGTTCGAATTCAAGATGATATGCCAACTATACAACTTATCAATTAATTTGTATCGGCATTGTAGGCGAATAGGCACACATTTAACTTCAAAAAATAAGTCATGTAAATATGAGTAAGTAGAACTTTATCTAAAAATTGATTTTTAGCATAACCAGAGGTTGGATTTTGGATCTTATGATTTTCGTGAGAGTTTTGGTTCAACTTTTTTGACTGACACAGGACATACTGGGGTATGATGGCACATGGGCTTTCAACTAGAGTTGAAAGCCCATGGATGGTATGATAGCAAAACATGTCCACAAATCCCAGTTTTCTTTGAAAAACAAATCATTTAGATGGGAATACATTAACGCATGTTATAGCATTTGGATGTGCTAGGCCGAAACTGAAAAATATTTTAGGCAAAGGCCGGAAAGGGTGTTTTTTTAAACATTTTCTATTTTAGATTAGTGTTTCAAACAGAGGATGCGGATTACTATATGCTATTACTCACCTATTATGACCAGCACATTTTTAACAGGTTTCCTACAAAGAGTCAGATTAATATAATGATAAACTAATAAAACAACAAAAAAACAAGATTTCATTTCGAAAATTGATAGCACCGGATGTTGATGATACGACGAAAGAACGAACGCATTCAAGATACAATATAACTTCAGTTCGTACTTTTAACCATACTCAACAGCATGTAATTTGGTCGGCGGTAGATAGCACAGTTTGAGATTTCACATTTCTTTTATTTTTGTTTGGTGCAGTGTTGTATCTATCAACAATTAGACTGGTAAAAGGAATTCGAAGGCTCTTTCTAGTATTTTAACACACACCGTGTCTCGAGTGATCGGGCTGATATCATTTCTTATCCATGTCTATTTTCTAAACTCAGTGCAAGAGGAGGGAAAGCCCCAGAGTTTAAAGATGACAGACATAATCACAATAAAGATTTACATTCTAAGCGTATCATCTTTGAACCCTGGTTTTTCTCCCCCTCAAACTCAGTGCATAGTTTGTTGAGGAAATCTAAAGATTTTTTCTCCAATGTGTGCATTTCTTTAAATAAGGTCTCAGTCGAATCAAATCATTAGTCTAATACACACAAATACTGTGTTAGCTGGTACTGGTAGTATTTCCAAGTAGGAGTCGAACCAACGACCTCTTGCTATTCAGCCCTGTATAAGGACAAGTGCGGTTTACACGCTACAATATACTGGATTCAAAATTCTAAGATGATTTTGACAAAGCCTCCAAGCGGCAATACGTACATTAACTTGATATCATTCATCTCTCTCAAATTGGCAAAACTCCACATGGCTTCTTGGACACCCTGTAACATAGTCTAATATTCAGTTTATTTTGTCAAACTTTTTAAAGAGATCCACTAAAAGAAAAAAATATTTTTTAAGTGAATAATTATTGACTAAAGCCACGTTACATGTAAATAGTGCACAATAATTTTTTTCAAGCGAATTATATTTATCTGAAAAATCCTCCGTTCTTGGACACCCCATAATATTCGGTCTATTTTATCGACCGTAAAAGAGATTCACAAAAGCCATGTAAATACACAAAAACGATTCTTTTCAAGTGAATTATATTAGAAATCTAAAGTTAATTAATAATTTCCAAATGGCTGCAGAACATTCATTGAACATTAGACACGGTGCCTTACCCAAACGCTCCTACATGCACGACGGAGCATTTCATTTCTGAATTTAAACGGCGCCCGCTCCGGAGTAAGAAAATTTGCGGGCGGAAATGATCAGCCGTCCAACGATTTCGCCGATAATGGGAATGAGAGGTATTTGTTACTTATTTCGTGTATACCATTCGATGGGTGTGATATTCATGTTGAACGTGGCAGTGGTTGAAGCAATTTGGAAGAGCTGTACGAAGCAGTGTAGTTATCAAAATCCATATGTATTTGTCATTCTACCGTACAAAACCCCTTTTGTCGAGATGATTAGTTGAGTCAGGATTGGAGCATCAAAGTATATTTTGGTCAAATTTGAAAGCTTCAATACACCATACATTATCGTGCTTGTGATTTGATGACCGAAAATCCAGTTTTAAAAATGATGACATTCTCTTATTCAAGAAATGCTGCAATCGGGACGGTTAACACAGTAAAACGGAAACGCTGCGGTAGTCAAGATCTGTTTAGGAAATTATATAGTTTGACTTTCTTTTTCAGGAAGAGAAAGAGAAAATCCATTCTATCCCTTGGGATCGAAAGAAAAAATATTAATTTACATAAAAGTTTTTTGTTTGTTTTTTGTCAATAGTTTTATGCGTTAGCACACGAATCTTGTTGCACGTGAAGCACCACCAGGTTGGGCCATTTCAATTCGCCTAACAAGTACAACACGTTTTTGAGATATAGGTTCGATTTCGAACATTTCTCTAAGAATCCGTAAATAATATCAAAACAAAATGATTAGAGCGTTTCTAAAATTGTTTCCAAAATCGACGGAGCGTTTCGAGGAAAACAAGCGGATGATATGTAAGAGAAACGAGTGAAACAATACTTATGGTCATGTGGGAAATTCATTAGCCGCCATTTTATTTCGCTCCGCAGCGCTTTCGCGTAAATGAAACGCTTCATCGTGCATGAGGAGCGTTTGGGTTAGACACCGTAACGGTAATATGACGACATTACAGCCTCTGTAAGAATATTGACATCTAATCGGAGAATAGAAATCAATTACCAAAATAGACTTTATTAATAGACTTAAAGACACGACTTAGGCCCTGTCAAAATGCACGTTTTGTCGCTTATATCACAAAATTAAAAAGAATTGAAATCAAAAGTAATACAGCTTGAAGTAACTCGGTAAATTAAAATCGGTGATATCATACTAGTTATTGGGATGACTTGTTGAGCCGTGAGATCATTTTAACATATTTTTTTAGTCTTAAATAAAATAGGTTTTACATAATCGCCCATGGGCTTAAAATACATCTATTTATCCAATAGTTATCCAATCATGTTAAGTTTGTTCGGCTAGACATGGTATAAATACATGTTCAATGAGCGAGGCGAAACGAAAGCCTAAAACATTGAAAAGTTCCCCAATACAAAGGACAATTCGACATTTAAGAAAAGCTACGATTGAAAAATAAGTCTAATCTATGAGTCAAAATCACCTTTGTGTAATCAAAACACCATTTGTTTCCCCAGGGTGTTTAAAATAACAACAAGTTATACATTATTTTGCGTTGTACCTAGTTGTGCCTAAACATTGGACAGCGCGAATCTATATTTCTAAATAGGAATACATTTTTTATAATTAAGTAGTGATTCTTGTTACCCAAAGGCTACACTTTCGTTACATGTTGGAGCACGTAAGACAAAATAATGCAGGATAAATAAAACTGCTCTGGGCATCATTGTCGGAATTTGTCGGAGAGATGGCGGTGTGCCGTGTCCATGCTTTCCATTTTATATTTCTATGTCATGACAGGGAAGTCAAGCTACACGTACTTGTACGAGGACTTGTAGGACACCTATAAGGATCATCTCGATGAGTCTTCATTATTAAATTAAAAAGTAATAATTAAATTACTTGTGTATCCAGATGGCGTTTAAGCAGCATATAATGAATGATCAACAGCCAAAATGTCAAACCTTTTTAGCTCACATGGTGAGCTATTGCACTCACTCACTCACTCACTCACTCACTTGTCCGTCTGTCTGTCCGTCTGCTTTTATATCTAATGTGGATTTTTATCTAACCAATCATGACTTAAATATTAATATGGGTATTTCCTATAATTAATATATACTGGATTTTAACTTACCAAATATGACTTCAATATTAATATGGGTTTAAACCTATAATAAATCAAATACTGGATATGACAAATAAATAAAATCAATTATAATCTACATACATGATGTAGATATCCAAATGTTGGTCTGAATTTATCTTTGTGGAAAGATTGTATGCTTCAGTTGCTCTTTAACAAAACACGTGAGACAGTGTATCTATATATTACAAGATGTCCGTCTGTTAACAATTGGCCAGTTTTAAAACCTCTGTCAACAGGATTTCCGTTTTAAGTTATTTTTGTTCAACATCAATATAGAAAAAACCTTGACTCCTGGTTCAAAAGCTCCCCTATTTTCAAAATGGCCTCCATTTTTGTCTCGCGAAATTCACCTTTGGACCATTTGCTTTAAAATCTGTGTGGATAGGATTCCCGTTTTAAGTTATATTCGTTCAATACAGAAAACTCCCTTATGACTCCTGGTTCAAAAGCTCGCCTATTTTCAAAATGGTCGCCATTTTTGTCTTGCGAAATTCACTTGTGGCCCCTTTTCTAACTTTACAAATAATTTCAGCTGTCCTGCATTGTAAAAAGTCATGTCACTGTAAAGAGTAGTTGTATGAAATAATTTTGTTACATAAAATCGGCAAAAATTACATCCATTTTTTTTATTTTCTGCCATTTTAGCCATCATTCACTTTTGAGCAACACCATGTGAGCCCAGTACCCACGGTAGGCTTACTATTTATTTAGGTTACATCAAGGTCTCTATCCTCTATGTTTAAATTCTGGACTTAAGAGTTAATGTAACACACACATAGAGTTTATTGATCCTTATTTTTTTTATTTATTTAGTAAGGTTCCTTTACCAGGTGGATAAATATTAAATATTGTCTAAGAAAATGGCTCTTTCTCAAGTAAAAACATCATTGTCAGGTTGAGTGTTTTCCCAGAACTTATTGATCAACTTGCCACTTATCATGAGCAAATTGTTTACAGAGAGCGTTTAATTTGAGATAAGTGTTATTCTCAATATTAATGCTATCGAGAGTGTTTTATAATATAGATACATCGATTTAAAAACGTTACTAATTGAACTGCCGTGCGTGCATCAAAAAATTCTTGTAACAGTTAAAAGGCGAACGAGCCAGAAAACTTTTTAGGTAAAAGATTTTAAGGTTAAAGTTGGTCTGGCTTCCGTTACCAGAGCTGGGTTGTTGAGTCAACAACAAAATATTTTTTCATGGCCTAAAGATACCAATGAATACCTCATTCATTTACTGTATAGTTATTTATTGTTTTTGTTGGTTTCTATTATTTACTTTCGTAGACTCACGCGAAGTAGTTCGATCCTTTACAAATGTGAATTTCTCTAAAGCGATATTTTTGTTTTTGTTTCAAAACTTGACATTTCGATAGTTCAACAATTCCTTCAGATGATAAATGATGTTCAACTAAAATTACATCATAAGTAGGCGTTCGTGGCAATGTATATCTGAGGTCTAAAACGTCGCAAGTGAGAGATTTTATATCTTCAATAGTTTTTAGGAGGTTCCACACATTTTATACACCGAACGAAACGTCCAGAGTGTTCAAAATAGCGTCATTGTAATCACTCGATCGGCCAATTGTTCATTGACTTATATGTTATTCACCAAATTTGAAGATGAGTCTTAATTATTTATATTGATTACTTGTATGTCTTGTAAGTAATAATTACTTGTGTATCGAGACGCGTTTAAGCAGCATTTCATGAACTTTTGATGATAAGGAGGCGAAAATTGTAGCTATGTTTACGTTAACATCCAAGACACCACCTTTAACTGTTACAAAACCATTATTTTGTTCGAAAAGAAAGGACCAGGTCGTATCACGCCGTGCCATGCGCCCCCTGAATGACACGCTCCGCCCGTTCCATCGATCTGAACGATGGCGTCAATGCTTTCGGGAAGGTATTTATAACAGTGTTGGTTTGCGAATAATACCAATCGTCAATTGACATCCAATATCTCTGAGGTTTCCCTGTCAGGAAACAATTGTTATATCGAAATACAATAGTTTGCTCAGTGAGCACTCCATGGAAGAAATCTTAAGGATGGCATACCAATCAGCAAAATCCTCGGAACTTCATCGAGTTTAATCCACAATCGAATAACATGGAAATCAATTTGGTAAATATTAGGACCAACAATTAGCATCTACCTATTGGATCTCGCCTACAAAAACACAGCACGAAGTTCCCTGATACTGATTAATATTTCATATTACAATTATCTTGATCACAACAAAATATAGATTGTGCTCGTACCCGGTAATAGTGGACACACTTGAAGTCGCCACCTCAGGCGGAAATTCAATTGTTTTTTTACACACCAGGGGTTCGAATAAATATTTTTTATTTCATTCTCGCTTTTACTCGACTAGAATCTGCACTGTGTTAGGTTTTACATGTTGGTCAGTTAGTAGTTGGAAATTTCAACAGTTAGTAGTTGGAAATCATTTTCCCTATTTTAAAGATGTACCTAGTATTCAGATACAATATATCACCTAGAATATGGTCATTGGGTATCAGTGGTTCTGTTGAAAATAATAGGATAATTTAAAATAAATTCATAATCGTCCAGACTGTCTGCTACATTGGGGAGGGCAAATCTTGGCCAGCCCTTTTAAAAAGGAACACGTTAAAAAGGAACATGTTTCAAGCCTTGGAGGGTCTAAATTGATTTGGAAAATATAAATGATCAGCGCAAAGTGATTGAGAAAATTATTTGTTGTTGTCAAGAATCGTTTGGCCAAATAGCTTGTTGAATCAATCAAGGCAGCTAATACATATTACAATCCTGCTAGAAATAGTAGTCAAATACGGAATGACCACATTTAATACAATTGTACTTGATAGTGGTATCATCGCGCATAGTTGGACCGGAATTAATTCAAATATTGTATTTCATTCCATTTCAAAGCGAATCTTTTTTTCGGAAATTCTGTAAATTGATTAAGTTCGATTGAAAAGTTGAGATTAGAGAAAATCAAGATTTTAGGAGACTGAATAATTTTCATTGTACCCGATCATGTCAATCGAAACTGGAAAGTCATTTCACTAATCTTGCCACTAATCAATGTACAATTTCATGGAAAGTTGATTCATATGTAACAATGCGTTGACCTATTATAATAGGTCACTCATATGTATGCTAAATGTAAGATGTCCAATCCCTCCAAACACCGATCGAAACACCGAATCCCCTCAACTCCGAGGAGTGGCAAATTCCATCGAGCAAAAAACGGCCATCTTGAAAATGTTTTCTTGGGCAGAACTGCTAGGTCGCTAGTCATAAGCATATACAATTTGAACAAAATCCGTCAACTGGTATTGGTATCAAAGATCACATTTTGCAAAAATGGCCGCCATTTTAAATTGAGCGGCCATATTGAAAATTCCTTCTTGAACAGAGATTTTACACCAATAAAGCACAAGGCTATAAAATTTGAATCAAATCCTGCAACCGGAGTTATTGCCCGGAGACACGAACGAATTTAACGAACGGACGGGCGGACGAACAAAATGACGGACGGCTTTTTATAACCCCAAGAACTTCGTTCGGTGGGATAGTTATGCTGACAGTAAGTTTACTAATCATTTATCATCTTTTTAGATAAAGTTCTGTGATTTTCTTTTTCCCCTCGACACATCATTCAAATGGTCCTCTTATATAATGGCTACACAATGTTATCTGATGAAGTGAACATTGTAAATGTCGAAATTCATTTCGTGTGTCCAAGTTGCCTTTAAAAATAATTTACCTAGTTAACTAATTACAGCAGCTCCTATAAAGGCGACTAGGTGATCACTAAAAGAGGTTTTGATTAACAGTAACGTGTTTGAATGAGAACTCAGCAGTCGTATAAACTAATCGTCAAAGCCCTTGGCCGGATATAAAAGAAAGCTACGTACGAGTATTCCCGAAATTAAGTTGCTCTTGGCAACACCTATCAGGAACGTTCGTGTAGGCCAATATTTGGAGAAATCGTAACTGTTTAAGGCCTTTTCTATTTGTGATTTGTGATAAACCAGAGCTACTTGTCTTACAAGGCACAGGTGGTAAAAGAACTCGAGGAGATAGACGAAGAAGTTTATAAAAGGTAAGAATATGGTAATCTAATTATATAGGAACTATTTAATTAATTACAGTAATCAAATACTATGGCGATAAATCAAAGGCTCTGTTCTCTATTTGATTATTATGTTCATAATATTCATGTACATATATTTGCAAGTGTTCAACAGGAAACAATTCTCATCAGGAAAGAAAAATAAAACGAAACAAGAGATATTACTTTTTTTCATTGTTTACAGAATACTTCGTAGATAATTTCAGATATCCTTTGGCGCATGTTATTGCATAGCATGACTTTATAGTATTTTTCACATTTTATACCTGGGATGTTATAATTAAGTGGCATATTGCATGATTGATAAATTGATTCCCCATGTGTGAATGCTGCTGCTTTTTGTTTAGCTGCATCATTTCTGCAATTATGCTTTGATTGTTTTGGATTGTTTTGCGTTGCATTTAGTTAAAATATATTTTAATTTGTATTTATATGACTCTATTAAAGAAATCAGCTTCTTTCTTTACACTCAACTCCAGCTTGTAAACCTGACTATATAACTATCCGTACAAACTACTCAAACTTTCAGTCTGGGCTACTCAAACTTTCAGTCTGGGCTACTCAAACTTTTAGTCCAGGCTACTCAAACCTTTAATACAGGAAAGTCACATTATCAGTCCAGGTTATATGAACTATCGATCTATACTAGTATAATATCAATCAGTCACTGTTACTCGGACTATCAGTTCAGATCACTCAAACTTTCGGTCAAAGATACTCAGACTATTTTTCCAGATTAACCCTCGCAGCAAACACAGACTATATGAGCAGGCTACCCAGACTACAAGACTAGATCACCCAGCCTATCAATTTAGGTTACTGTGATTTTCAGTCCAAATGTCGCAAACTATAAGTATTTTCTTTAGCACTACTTTTATTTAGATAAACTATTCACATGAATATCTCTCATCCTATGAAACAAACATCATGTATCTTTTTGTCCAATATTGTATTTCATAAAAATTACAAGTTTTTACAAATATTTGGTCAATGAAAATACGATTCGGTTAATATGTTTTGTCAAAATTGACAAAAGTCGATTAATATAAACTGAATAATATTTCACAAATTCATTGTGTTTCTGTTCGTCATGGTAAAAAATTGATTATTGTTTTTCGAGTTTCGCTTATGGGAATGACCTCGTTGATTTCACATATGACCTACTTAGAGCCACCAGGCGTTCAGCTTTGGCATTGGCTGTCGGTGATGGCATTCAGCATCTATAACAATTGTTACATTGTTGTAGAATCTACAAGTTGGGACATTTCCCCTTTGTTTGCTTCATTGTAGATGGTGATAATACCCCAGGTAATAATGTGACTGCTTTGATTGTGATGACTCAAACCTTTGAATACCCTTACTCAATTAAATGTCTCCACTCTACATCCACTGGTTATCTGTTACACGTTAAAATACATTTTTGACGTTGTTTTGTATTTTATTCCCACCTTTGGGGTCCACACTCCACAGTGATAATAAGCTGTAATTAAACAAGCCCCTAAATCAGTTTTGAGGACAATATGAATGTCTTACAATATAACAATGATATGAGAGAGATAGAAGCATAATTCCCAAAAGGGGGGAAATACGTAGGCTACAATCTATAGAGGTATTAGATGGGGATTCGTGACCTAATATGTTGACGACAATATGCTCCCAATAGCCTCGCCTCGTCCCAAATTGAACTTTACATTCTTGATGTTGGTGAAACGTTTAAGACAAGACATCATCATTTTACTTTATCTTATCATGTCATTTAGTATTTATTGTTTTCACCGATTGTATCATTTTGGGTTTTAGAAACAGTTTAAAAATATTTCACAAAAGTCGAAACCTGCGCCTACTGCTAATTGCCATATTCGAACGTTTATAAGGTGTCCATAAGCAACTTTTTTCCATGACCTGTACAAGATACAAAGAACAAAATCGAATCTCGGATTTAATGAGTGGTATACCACAAGCTATCATGTAAATTTCATATCTTCGGTAGCCATTGATATGATATCTGATTACGTCAATAGACTCAAAACATTAGCGAATAAGAAGAATAAATTATCCTGGAATAACATGTTTGTATCAATTAACAGTCAAGGGACTAAATTGTCCTAAAGTAAGCCTATGTCCAGTATATCATTATGTTTCACTGGTGTTTCTTTATTTTATAGCAAAACAGTTGCACCCAATCCCGGGCACCCAATCGACCTAAATCAATATCTGGCATATGAATGGCAAAAATGAATTATCATTCGTTTGCTTGTATTTTCATGTTGATGATAAATTTTTAATAAGTCGGGTATCACTTGATACAAGACACATTCTTATAATCAATTTATGGCTAGACAACATAGAATACAATTATCCACTTTATGAGCTTAATTTTCATCTGTCCACCTCGATAACGAGAAAACTCGAATTAATTCACATCATTGCATGGCCAAAAGTCCGAGGATATATTAATGATCAAGTACCTAAAGATGAAGTATACTTTCCAAACGTTAATGGTTAAAGTATCCTGAATAAAACAACGTCGACTCTGAACATTTTGATAATAAAATCACAAGATTTTAAAATATTCGATGCAGAATATACGCACTTTATTAATATAGAGCCAAAGGAAAAGGACCAAAAAATGTTACAGAACCAAGCAAGAAAAGAAAATATTTAAGTGTACACCAGTCACAAGGAAAACAAACCCCAACTATCCCAAACCATAATCCAATTAACTTGAAAAGAAACATTTAGTCTAATACCTACCTTTCCAACTATTCAATTTTCATTATCACAATGCAGGACCAAAACACACCAAGGGATATTTCATTCATTCAGAAGCCATCGCATGTAAATAAATGAAGAATAAATATAAATTGATATAAATGATTAAATTAGCATCATAACATCAAAATAGTTGTAGATACTACTTTATTTTACAAACAAGATATGGCGTTCACTTTCTTAATGTGGGACAGACTTTATCCAGTCTCGAAGTCCAAATGTATTTTTAAAAACAATTTCAGGGAAATATTCGCTATCGTTGGTGTGAAAGAGAATCGTTACTAAGAATGCAAAATAGATATTTTGACACATCGACACTTCCTTAGACACAAATAGCTTCTTCCGCCACTCGATCCTTATCAAACAGATGCCGGAAAATACATAATGTATCACATGTACGTGATCATTACTACCTAGAGACCAAATCAAAGCTTATCATCGAGCTGTTGACAGTATTACCCCCCTTTAAGATATTTGGGCAAACTGTCTGACTTTGATTTTCTTCTTTTTAGATTTACCAGATTATCTTTTTATTAGTTTCAATTTACCCAAGATTTGTAAAGATCCAAAACAAACGGCCTGATTGAATCGGCCGATATCATTAAGTTTAACTTGACGGATTCTCGGCTATCGAGTTAAGATTGTCAAGGTGATTGAGCCAACTAAACTGATGAAACTAATTACCACTGATAGACATATTGTAGTCACTTATTGCATCTTGCGTATTTCTTATAATCCCCCCTCGTTGACATTTTTCGTCGAAGAACTGTTTAATCCCACTGTGAATGATGACGGTGATCATTTATAATGTCGCCGTATGGTTCTCGGACGGATTAGCAAGATTAAGGGGGATTAGCTAAGCGCTGATTTGTTTTTGCCTGCTTCCAAACACATAACACTTTACTCTGATTAAACTAGTCAAGGGCCTTTCTAAGATGTAACCCTGTCATTTACATGTGAACTAGTGCCATAGAGTATTTGTTAATATGTCCTCTAGTCTTTACTATAATCCCCAGAATTGCTTTCATTAAACCGTTCAATATGAGAAATCAATAAAAGAAGCACTTGCAGTGAACGATGAAGAGTGCTCAATTTGAAAGGGGTAGGTATGGTTTAATTATTTCAAATGTCATCAGAAATGGAAAGAGAGGGACACGACGTGACGATGGACAGTTTTATGGGAATTGCCACGAAATAAACACTTCATTTCAGTGGGGCATTTATGATTAAGACTTTTTACCCTTTGCATTCGTTCGACTTCCTTCTTAAAAGAAAGATTCGGTAATTTATAACTGGACTTTGCGCACAGGGTAAAGATTTTTTGATGGTGACTACATCTTTCCAGCATTAAAGCAAGCGAGCGCAACACCCAACTGAGATTTTAAAAACAGGATTGCACCCACCTTAAAAATCCATTTTCACCCACTTGAAAATGAGAAAAATCATAAAATTGTATTTTGAGCAATTTTGGTCTGTATTGTGAAAATGAGAATTTTACACCGCACGTTGGACATCACATCCTTCTTTCAGTTCCTCATTACCATTGTAAGTTGGAAAAAAGAAAGATGCGAAGCGTATCAGAATGATATAATGTCTAAGTTTCCAATAAACACTGCCACTCAAAAAGCAATATCATAATTTTATTATATTACAAACTCATTAATTCTCATTCGTGTTATTTTTACTCAACCTCGAGGTGATACATCATTACCGCAGTCAGAAAGTCGCAAAAAGAAAACAATTCAGTCTCGTCCTACACAGAACTGTGATACCCCGGCGTGGCCCTGCGTGGCTCTTTGTAATCAATTACCATGGTCTCTTAATCTAGAATGCCTTATCAGATGACATAAATAAGTCAGATTCTGGAAAAAAGACATAAGACATGTTACGAATCTAATCTGTTCAAACTTTACTTATAGCCAACCTCATATTTACATCCCAGCTGTTTCTCGTTCAGTTTATCAACAATATCACTGCTGGGACCGACCGAAATGTTCTGATTGGCAAATATTCGCATCTGAGGTTTTTAACATGGAAGTTTATGGTAGATTAAAAATGGAACCGAAAAAACGAAAAAAGCTTTCACAGTGAAAGTTTTTCGGAAAACAGATGGGTTCGGATATATATGTTTACTACATTTTTAAATAAAATGCAATACTAAAACTGTCAGTACCGAGTGACTTTTCGTTTTTAATATT